AGGTCTAGTCAACCTATGCACAAGGAGGTAGAAATCTGGTATGTACCTCAAGGTTAATGTGTCTTGTCAGCTATCATATTAGGAGATGTCAGCCAGAGAACTAAAGCTGTGTTCAGTTTATGTGTAAAGTTACATTTAATTGAAAATTATGTTATGTTAATTTAAGACAATTAAATTCTGTTATTAATAAATACATATAGAATTTATTTATTTCTTTGTGATTATTTCTTTTAAAGTTATTTTAATTATTGTTATTACTCTTAAGAATTTTATTTCCTGGAAAAATGCAACAATTGCAGTAATAATGATTTAAGTTTATACTTCAATTGGATGGTCAGAAGAGTTTTAATAGACATACAGTTCGTTGACTTGATTATTTTTTGTTTCCAACTGCAGTAGAAAGGAATAAATTTCACTAAGGTGTTGTATATCTGATTTTGTGTTGATTATATTATCTGTTGTTGCTATGTGGGTCATTTCTAAAAAAAGTCTTCTCTTATAAGCTGTTTCTTTTTCGAGGATTTTGACATCTGCAAAATTCATTCTGTGGTTATGGGTGTGAACGTGGTTGGCTAGGGTGCATCTATCTGGATAAAGTCTACAGTCACTTTTGTGAGTGGTAACACGGTCTTTAAGACGTCTAGAGGTTTGGCCGATGTACTTGCCATTACAGTCCATACAAGGGATACTGTAAACAACATTAGATATTTGGTCATGCGGAGTACGATCTTTCATTTTTGAGAAAATAGAGTTTACTGTTAAAACTGTTTTATTGGCTATTTTGATGTTATCATATGATTTAAAGATTCTAGTTAATTTTTGGTGTTAGTTCCCGTATGTAGGGCAGCACACAATATGTTGGAAGGGTTTGACTGGTAACCGTATTCTGTGAATTCGTACTTGCTATGTTCGAATGTTCGGAGGTAGTTAGATTGATAGATGTTACTGATGTAGTATTATATAAAAGTGTTTTTAAAAGAAGAGGTGGATAGGAATTATCTATAAAGAGATCATAAAGTATTTTGAGATTCTTTTGATGGAATGATATATCTGAAATTTGTAGAACCCTATTTTTCATTTGTCTTACTAAGTTTAGTTTGGTGAAGTGTTTATGATAGGACATGTAGTTAATGTACCTGCCTGAACTCATTGATTTTGTGTACCAATCAACTATAATGATGTTATCATTTGAGCGGATTAATTTAGTGTCTAATAAAGGAATAGATTGGTTTTCATCTTCGACTTCCATGGTAAACTGTATGTAAGGATCGTAGCTATTGAATATAAATAGTAGTTCATCTATCATATTGTTGGGTATAGCTAAGATCATGTCATCTACATATTTCTTTAAAAAGAAAAGGTTGAAAGGTAGTACTGGAATGATTGTGTCTAACAGGTCATCCATTACATATGCAGCAAGAATGGGGCTAATTTTTGCTCCCATTGGTGTTCCAAAAGTTTGTTTGTAATATGTATTGTCAAAAGAAAAATAGGTATTATTGAATAAGAAGGTGATTAAGTTTATGAACATCTTCTTCTTCTTCTTCTTCAGCCTGTGTTCGTCCACTGCTGGACATAGGCCTCTTCCATTTGCTTCCATCGATTTCTACTTTTGGCAATTCTCATCCACTGCTTGCCCGCGACTTGTTTGATATCGTCTGTCCACCTCTTCTGCGGTCTGCCTACTCCTCGCCTGTTCTCTCTTGGTCTCCAGTTTGTTAATCTTTGTGTCCATTTTTCGGGATTATCTCGGGCAACGTGTCCGACCCATTGCCACTTGAGCCTTGCAATACGTTCTGAGACATCAGTAATTTTTGTTCTTTCACGAATGACGTTATTTCGAATCCTGTCTCTCAAACTAATCCCTAGCATGGCCCTCTCCATTGCTCTTTGGGTTGTACATATCTTAAAGCTTGCATCAGATCATTAAATAAACATTGGTCAGAAATTAGTAGACATTGTACAATAGATAAAGATATGTTCATAAACTTAATCACCTTTTTATTCAATAATACCTATTTTTCTTTTGACAATACATATTATAAACAAACTTTTGGAACACCAATGGGAGCAAAAATTAGCCCCATTCTTGCTGCATATGTAATGGATGACCTGTTAGACACAATCATTCCAGTACTACCTTTCAACCTTTTCTTTTTAAAGAAATATGTAGATGACATGATCTTAGCTATACCCAACAATATGATAGATGAACTACTATTTATATTCAATAGCTACGATCCTTACATACAGTTTACCATGGAAGTCGAAGATGAAAACCAATCTATTCCTTTCTTAGACACTAAATTAATCCGCTCAAATGATAACATCATTATAGTTGATTGGTACACAAAATCAATGAGTTCAGGCAGGTACATTAACTACATGTCCTATCATAAACACTTCACCAAACTAAACTTAGTAAAACAAATGAAAAATAGGGTTCTACAAATTTCAGATATATCATTCCATCAAAAGAATCTCAAAATACTTTATGATCTCTTTATAGATAATTCCTATCCACCTCTTCTTTTAAAAACACTTTTATATAATACTACATCAGTAACATCTATCAATCTAACTACCTCCGAACATTCGAACATAGCAAGTACGAATTCACAGAATACGGTTACCAGTCAAACCCTTTCAACATATTGTGTGCTGCCCTACATACGGGAACTAACACCAAAACTAACTAGAATCTTTAAATCATATGATAACATCAAAATAGCTAATAAAACAGTTTTAACAGTAAACTCTATTTTCTCAAAAATGAAAGATCGTACTCCGCATGACCAAATATCCAATGTTGTTTACAGTATCCCTTGTATGGACTGTAATGGCAAGTACATCGGCCAAACCTCTACACGTCTTAAAGACCGTGTTACCACTCACAAAAGTGACTGTAGACTTTACCCAGATAGATGCACCCTAGCCAACCACGTTCACACCCATAACCACAGAATGAATTTTGCAGATGTCAAAATTCTCGAAAAAGAAACAGCTTATAAGAGAAGACTTTTTTTAGAAATGACCCACATAGCAACAACAGATAATATAATCAACACAAAATCAGATATACAACACCTTAGTGAAATTTATTCCTTTCTACTGCAGTTGGAAACAAAAAATAATCAAGTCAACGAACTATAATATTCTGAATAGTATAATATTGTCTATTAAAACTCTTCTGACCATCCAATTGAAGTAGAAACTTAATCATTATTACTGCAATTGTTGCATTTTTCCAGGAAATAAAATTCTTAAGAGTAATAACAATAATTAAAATAACTTTAAAAGAAATAATCACAAAGAAATAAATAAATTCTATATGTATTTATTAATAACAGAATTTAATTGTCTTAAATTAACATAACATAATTTTCAACTAAATGTAACTTTACACATAAACTGAACACAGCTTTAGTTCTCTGGCTGACATCTCCTAATATGATAGCTGACAAGACACATTAACCTTGAGGTACATACTAGATTTCCACCTCCTTGTGCATAGGTTGACTAGACCTTGTCCAAAAAATGACAATGTGATATGTAGTTGTGTTTTAACTGTTTTATTTCTTAAATGTTCAATGTTTTTTAATATTTGTATTGTACTAGCACACTGGAGGAAAAACAAAAATGCACTTGTATTGTTTGAGTTTTCAAGCCACCATATAACGCATACAACTTATTCCTTTTTTTGCTATAAAAAATCTTCAAAAAAGTTTTTCAACATGGAACTTTCAAATACCACTTTTGCCTGCAACCTCACACAAGTAAGTGTTTCACTACATCTTATGTAAAATACACAATTTCACCATTTTGTAACATATTGTAGCATTCGTCTGAAGATGTTAAAGAAATTTAACGAAATATAACGAAATCGTTGAAAAGAGCACACTTTGGCTTTCATTATTCAGCTGCTAACCCAATCAACCTTACCATTATACTAATATATATATATATATATATATATATATATATATATATATATATATATATATATATATAATATATATATATATATATTTTATATATATATATAATATATATATATATATATATATATATTTATATATATATATATATATATATATATATATATATATATATATATATATATATATATATATATATACAGGTTGTAGTAAAAAAATATAATGTCAGGTCAGTAGTGCACCAGATAATACTTTATATTTATTTGGTTTACATGCAAGAAGTTTATTATTTTTAAAAATTAAGGAATGACTTTAGATGGCAATTCATGGGATGACAAAATGACTAGTACTATATATTAACCTTAATCAATAAACTAGTAAATGTAAATCGTTATGTTGCACTAACAATAAGGAAAAAGAGTAATATAAAGCTATAAAAATAAATGTTTTGGTCAGCAGAATACATATATAGACACGAAAAGGTTTTTTATCATCATCATTATCATTTTGGCTTTACAACAATGTGTGGTTCCTAGCGTCCTCAAGAATTTTTTTCCAGTCGTACCTATCCATCGCCTTCCTCCGCCAAGCACGTATTTTCATATTTCTCATATCTTGGTCTATGTTATCTAGGAATCTTGTTCTGGGACTTCCTCTTCTTCTTTGACCAATAGGTCTATCAAGGAGCGTTTTTCTAGCTGGGTCGGTTTGCTCCATCCGCATTACATGGCCTACCCACCTCAGTCGTCCTATCTTAATGTATTTTACGATATACCTTAAAGGTTTTTTATAGGCAATCTATTCACTCTTGCCAAATTTCAATGCTCTCTGGCCTTCTATTACGGTGGCTATGGTTGAATGTCTTGATCTGTGCAGGCAAAAAGTTGTGCAAAAAGTAGCGTCTAGACTGGCCTTAATGTTATGGAGGCTGAAATGACATTTGAATGCATAAAGTTTTTTTATATTTTCTAAAACAATAACTTTTTTGAATTATGTTAGTTTCGCAATATGTGTGCTAAATTTATTTTCATTTTTTTTACACCGTTAATTTTTTACCAACAGCAAGATGGTGGATCCCCACTTGTATGTCCCAGTACAACAGGAGTTTACAGTATAGCTGGATTAGTAATATGGGGCAAAAATTGTGGACAGCCTGGAGTATATGGAGTATATGTTAGTGTTCCTTTTTATGCGACATGGATTCAGGGACAAATGACGACAACAGCTGGTTAATTTTACTTTTCTCGTTTGTTATTGATTTAAGTTATTTGTTAATTATATAGTTATTAAATGAGAACTGAACTGCAAAGGGTTTTTTTAATAGATAATAGTTATATTCTATTAAATACAAGGTGCAAAAACCTGTGAAAAATTTGACATAACATCAATAAATATTTTTGGTAGTCCCAAGAAGCATTTATGAAATTATTCTTACTTAGTGTGGTGTTTGGTTCTACTAGTGCAAATTTCGTTCTAAAACTGTAATGATCAGTTTAAGAGGAATATTTGTGAAAAACGATAACGCATCTAGGGATATGAATACGTAGGTTCGAAGAATTGTATATAACTTTCCTGATTTTTTCGACAAACGTAACGTTATATTGTTCGTTACTAACCTAACCTAACCACACTACGTAAGAATAATTTTCTCAAGCTGATTGAGTGTTTTTTTTTCTAATATGTACTCTCCTCTAGTATGTACTTCCTTTTGGTGGAATTTTTACTCACAAATCGTTGGCATTCCCTTGAGAATGCCAACGATTTGTAAATGGAAACGACTTGGGAATGGGGCTCTCCGATCAGCCCCATTATAGTCAACATAGTTTTAGATCATCTATTCAACATAGTAATTCCACGACTACCGTTCATATACAAATATGTGAATGATGTGATAAGTAAGATCCACGAGGACAGTATCCAAACTACACTTGACATTTTCTATGGATTTCACAAACACCTACAATTTAAAATGCTACCTACTAATTCTGCACGTTAGCAATAATATTTTCATACAGAAGAATTTAAATAATAAAAAATATGTTTGTAAATAACAGCTATCCTAGTAATATTACCAAGCAATTATTCTACAACATAGACTTATATGTCGTGCAATGCGATATTAGACCAACAGTAGACAGCCTTATTAACAAATCACGTAACTCAAAATTTTTTTAAAATTTAATGTTATTACAATGATCTATGGTGACTGTACACTGCTGCCTAAGCACTAAACTCCAAAAAAATTAAACTAATTCTAGAAATGGAGGAAACAAAACACGTATCTTTTTTTGGTGGGAAATTTGTTAATGCAACCTCGTAACTCCTGGCTGTGGCAGCCCGTTTCCATAGTGTAGCATGTGAGTTATGTAATGCTTGGCCAATTCATTCTGCCTGTGTAAATATATGTGTTTAGTTCATCTTTTTCTTAAAGTGCCGTCTCCCTACCGAGGTTTGCAATCATAATGGCTATTTTTATTTTCGAACTTGCTGCTCTGAACAAATCAATGGATCTGCATTGATACCAATCACGTAGATTTTTTAACCATGAGTTCTGCCTTCGGTCAACAGATCTTCCTTAAATTTTCCCTGTATTAAGAGTCTCAAAATTTCATATTTTGGGCCGCTCATCAGGTGGCCTACGTATTACAGTTTTCTGGTTTGTGTAATGGTGATTAGTTATGTTTCTTTACCAACCCTCTCCAGAACTTCTTTATTTGTAATTCTATCAGTCCATGATATTTTTAATACTCTGCGGTATAACAAGAGTTCGAAGCCCTCGATTCTTTTTAAATTGCATTTTTTTTAATGTCCAAGTCTCAGCTCCATATAATAATATTAGTGTACAAAAAGGGTGTACATATGTGGGAAATTATGAGTATAATTTCAGTGTATGTGGACTGTATTATATAGGGCTGGTTCAAATAAATTAGGATATGTAGTAAAGGGTATACAGACAATAGCAAATTAATTTTATACAAAGTCTTCATCCGCGAAAACTGTCCGAGCACCGGTTTCTGAACACGTGTTTCGCACTAAGATCACGATATAGATTACACTTTGCGTCTGTATACGATTTAAAATAGTATATGCGGTATTTTTCGCGTAACTAAAGCGGAAGAGAGATAATTAGAGATAGAAAACAGCCAAGAGAGATGCTGTTCTTCTTGATAAGCGAAGAGAGAGAGAGGGAGTGGACTGTCCTCAACGACAAATACATGTACCAAGCGATAGGTAACAGGGAAGAGATAATGACTGTCCCTAGCGGTAGCCGACAATCAAGAGGGCACGACTAGCCCTAGCGGTAGTCAAATCAAGGGGGAGTTTTTCTTTATTGCTATCTTAAAACTGTATGTATTCGTAATGGAGTGTGGTTAAAATGTGAGTAGGAAGGATTATTAAGGGTTGGACTAAGATAATGATTGTAAAATTTTGATATAAGGATAGTTAATAATACAGCGAAAAATGACATGATTTTTCGCATGTGAAAAAATTGAACATACTGGGGGCGAGCGAGAAGAGTTACGCCACTGGGATAGGGTATCAAATAGTTACGTCGAGAGTAAGGGAAAACCGGTATGGATGAGGGAGATTGTTGTAAAAGCTAAGATAACTAAGAACTATTTAAAATCTAGAGAAGCTAAAGTCTAACTTATAGAAATAAGAAGCTATATATTTGACTAAAAGCGCCGCTATTGGTTAAAGGGTAACTTAGCTTTCTTTATAAACCTAAGGTATTCATAATTAGGTGTGGATACATCTGTTCGAGCAAGAGAATCCTGGCCTGGGAACAATTCGATTACTTTTGTCAGAGTCCAGAGGAGTGGTGAAGTCTCTTCATCTTTGATTACTACCACATCACCTATCTTTAGAAGACCAGTAACGATGTTCCACTTACCCCTACTTTGTCGTAGTAGCATATGCGATACAAGCAGTGGAAGCGTCAGGCATCTGGAAAATGGAATTTTATATATTGATTGGAATGTATCCAATAATGATTTCCAATCCGAGATCAATAGGTCATCTAATATATCATTGTCCCAGTCTAAAGGCAATGACCAGAGACGTTGTAAGAAAGATTTAGAGTGTACTCTAAAAGATACGAGTTTTCCTAAGGAGTTATACATTCGAGAAACATAGGCACACAATTTTCTTTTTGTTAAGGGAGGCGTCTCTTCACAAAGAGCCAACTTAAAAGAGAAATCGTCTTGATAACATGACTTGTTAATACCTAGGACTTTAGGGAAGCTATTAACAAAGTCCAAGATTAACTTTAAAGGTGGAGACCATATTACATTCATTTAAAAAGGGACGAGAACTTGTATATTTTATAGAGTTGGAAACCGTGAGTATTCAAAAACGAGCAAAGTTGAGAATAAAGTATGTGTAACCTTTTCAAGTTATTGGCACTAGTCAAGATATTGTCGATATTTGCAAAACTTTTTAAAGTATGAGAATCCACTGAGTGCGTGGTTTGGTTAGCAAAAGTTTGAACCTGACAGAGAGTAAACAATGGAGTAGGGCACAAAACATTAACGTTCACCATATCAGGAGGCGGCAATACATACTAAGCCTCCAGTAAGAGAATACTGTTGGGCACTGCAGGGGCTGTTGTTACTTGGCTCTTTACGAACGGTGGAGCAACGGTAACAGCGGAAAAGGTAGGTTCGACTGAATATAATGACTTAGATTGTAGGGTGGTATGAGGAAGAACAGCTTATTTTGGGAGAAATTTGATGACAGCCGTGCCAGTACGAGGTTGTGAGAGGAGTATTTGATTTTCGTGTATTATTGGAGGAGGTATGGACTTATTCGGAGGAGAGATGATTTTCAAAAAATCGACATATACATCACCTTCTTCACAAGGTGTTGCAATTGATAATAAGTCAATAGATTTATGTGTTGGAATTTTATTCAAATGTAAGAAAGTGGGAGTGAATATATTTTGAGTTTAAATAGAGAGTTTATTAACCTGTCGTATATTTAGAGCATTTAAAGTTTCAGGTTGAGAGATATCTTGAGTTTGTATACGAGTTGGGAAAGGTATATTTTTCAATTCCACTGGCACACCGCAAGAAGGCGGTAATGGAGTTAAGTTTTCAATAACTAATAGAGACAAATTGACAGTTGTCAGAATCGGAGCAAAAACTAAAACATTTTGTGTATGTAGAGCTTGAGTTGAAACCAAAGTATTGGATTCTTGCAATATTTGTGGGAAAGAAATGTTAAGAAGTACAAGCGATGCAGATATTACAGTTTCAGTAACCGCATTTTGTTCTGGGGTAGTTTGACAAGTGACTGTTTGTGCTGGTAACACATTTTTTAAGAGAGGCTGGCCTATTACATCTTAAGAACTAATGTTATTAGAAGTGATTTAATAAGTCGGCTTTTCAAGTTCTTGCGTCTGAGCTTAAACAATTGCAGAATTAAATAAAGTACTTATATTTATTTCTTTTATCTGTTTGAACTGATTTGGGAGAGAGTTGGAGTAAAATATATTTTTAACTTCTTTTTGGCAATTTATATTCAAATCAGTACGTTCAACAATGTGTTTACTGGATGTGTTTGCCTCACATTTTGTATCAATCGACTGATCAACACAAGTGACTAAATTATTTATGTAATGAGACTTAGAGTACCTCCTTTGAATAAAAGAATCGGGAATTTTTCCACTTACAATGTGTCTAAATAAGCTGCCTTGAAGAATTGGAAGGCCAGGGCCAAGTTGTATGATACTACCTGTCAATATACACTTCTGTAGGCAAGTTAAGCTTATTAATAGAAATTGGGACTTGGGGTAGTTTAGTAGTGATACTGTCTAGTACTGAACATTTGATTCAATGCAAGTGTCCGTAGCAGCAGAGAAGATAGTCAGATCAGACATAAGGGTTGAATTTAAAATAGATTGGGCGATACCATGAATCTTAAAATGATTTTTATAAGTAGATGCCGCAATCTTTTTTAACAAGTTTTTAGAGACAAAACTAAGTTGTGATGCTGGCACTAGAAATAGACTATGGTAGAGATACTCTAGCTATTGCATACGCAGATGACCTGGCGATACTAGTCATGACTGACACGAACTGTAAAATCAACAGCTGGATGGTTAGAAACGATTTCGAACTAGCAGGAAGCAAAACGGAAGTGGTCATACTAAAAGGACCACGACGAACACCCAAATTGACTTTTCAAATTGGTAATGCTATTATAATGCCTACCAATTGTGCAAAATACCTAGGCATATACATCTACACAGGCCTAAGGTTCACAAAACACCTGACAAATGTAGTCCAGAGGGCGAAAAA